TGAACGTTCCTCCTTTACATGGCTTCTTGCCAGTTTATATTGTTATATAAAAAATAATGTTGCTTTTGATGTACTTTAATTTGAAATACAACACCTTAAACTTAAAGCATTAAGTGATAAGAGAAGATTTAGGGCGCCATGAAGTTGAGAAGCTGGGATAAAACGAAGGCTTGTTTTTTGTAAAGAAATATTCACTCATCTGTAAGGACGGTCAATAATCTCTTCATGTCTCCTGCACTCCCCGACTCTTCTTTGTCTAACACACAAAGAAATGCAGATATTTTCACGTTTGTATTGATTGTTGCTTGCAGCACAAAAGAGCACTCAATACACTTTTGTGATGAAAGTTTTTGCAGAAATATTAAGAAGTTAGAAAAAAGGCATTCAAAAGATAACAAAAGATTCTTGTAAATTTACATTTTTTGGCAGTTACCTTTATAAGACACCGGCTTCTTATTTCTGTTTTGTGTCAAACTCACAAAACACTTGAATAGGCTAGTTTAAATTGTGCGGCTGCAAACTGCATAGTAAAACTCTGTAAAGTATGCATTATGTGTCAAATACAAAAAAGGGGTCCTCAAAGACCACAAGGTTTCCTACATTTAAGATTTTAAATATCTGACACTGTTGACAAAAATTCAAATGGCACATTTTTTTTATATGTATTATATACCGATATACTTTAGAGATTACCTTATTTTCAGGTTTCACCAAACCGAGTTATTTTCTGGACATATTTTGTATTTTATCCCGAGAACCACTGCATACACTAGTATTGAGTAATACATTGATTTTACTGTACTGAAATATCAGCTGTTGCCCAAGTTTCTAGTCCAATATTTGCCATATTTTGCTCTACTTATCTCATACGATGTTGTTCCAACCTACTGAATGACAGAGGACAACTCGAGCCGATTTTTGGAGACTCAGTGGATATGTGACAACAGATTTATTTGTTACCTGCACAAGGGATTATGCTCTAAAATCTCAGGTATTAGTGGGTTTACCAGGGGGATTATGAATTGTACTTGAATCACGGAACTGATAATGCACAAGTGTGGAAGCAAGTGCACCCTTTATTAGAAATGATCCTGCACTGAGAATAAGACAAGCAGCAGATGCATTAATCATCTGAGATATTCTCGGTGCTGTCAGAAGTGGGTGGTTTTCCCTCATGGCCAAGGGATATGTGACTGCAGAAAATATGTAACATTAGTCTATTGTTCTGCTATACAGAATATACTGAGACTTTCTTCTTTCTGGGTCCTTTCGGTATGAGAAATGAAGCTCTGCACTGGGACTGAGTCTCATCTCCATTACCATGTTATCTTTTTATTTGGGGCCCCTCGCGTTTTATAGATTTTGCATAAGGATTTAACAGAGCTACACGAGCCAGATTTGCATGAACATCTACATTACAGTCATTATAACTCAAAAAGCTCAGTGTTCAGTTTGAATACAGCAGATTTCCTTGTAGCTCGCTAATGTTACTGTAACTGTATATAAGCAAAAGTACTGTACACATAATACAACAGATAAATGATTTGGTTTTTACTAAAGTTAAGCCTGGCACCAAATAGCTTACAATATACCATACAATCATAAATCCAACAAACAATACCGCAAACATTCCTACAATAAAATAGCAATTTGATTCAAATTCATATTTTTGGACCATATTCTCTACACTTACACTTTTTTCTATTGGAAAAATCCATCAAATAATGGATGATTAACATCTTTCGTTCTACATGTACTATTTAATCTTCTATTTTACGACCCTGCTGGACATGATTATGTACCTTGTGTCAGTGTAGCTCCTGTATAAAGTAGATTGTATTTCATGAAATCATTTCTTAATGCGACATAGGGTCCGACTACTTTTATAACCATTACATTTAATTGGTTATTTGGTAGATTAACCAATTAATCTACCTGCTATTTCCTGGTTTTAATGAATGATTGAGTCTATTTAATGCAGTGGTGGAAAGTAACTAAGTACGTTTACTCAAGTATTGTACTTAAGTACTTTTTTGACATATTTGTACTTTACTTAAGTATTTCCATTTTATGCTGCTTTATACTTCTACCCTACTACATTTCTGAGGCACATATTGTACTCTTGCGCCAGAGTGTTGAACCTGTGCCATGCGGAGACTGGAAAACAGTTGTGTTTAACTGCAGCAGTCGGCTCTCTTGAGGTCAATACAAACATTAGCTTGTACTGCCTGTAGAGATAAATACAGCACTGCAGGCACTAAATACTGATGTTCAATGATGCTCTGAAACAGAAGTGGTTTTCCTCAGCGTGTGACGACGAGTTTCACTGTGATTAAAGGAAAATTCGGATATATTTTTTTTCGCACCTAGGCACCTGACTGAGCTGTTTTTGATAGTTGAATGTTTGGTTAGCTAGCTAGCAAACTACATATTCCTCTGTAGTAATGACCAGGGTTGATCATATTAGGCCTTATATGAGATGTAGTCAGTTACTGAATACAAATTACTTGACAATTTTTAAGTAGTAAGTAGTGGTAGGTAGCATAGGCGGCGCGTGAGGCTCAGGTTTGGGAAGGCTAAATAACTTTTTTTACCTGACGCTGCCCGATCTATAGAAAAGAGATCAACTCAGTGAAAGCACCGCCTGCTGACCAATCAGAGCTCAGTGTGCGGAGTTTAAATCTATCAAGTCATATTACAGGATAAAGGAAATACAGTTTAAACTGCCATATGCAGAGAAGACGCCGACGTGTCGCACTTATCATTCATATCACATCATCGATCATATAATATCATAATATATCATATATTTCCTTATCTGAGTCAGCTTCTTGAGCCGTATCTGGCCGTGCAACACTTACATTGTCACATACTGTATGCAGAAGTATTATTTTAAGCAACACATTAAGTTGATGAAACACTCAACTCAAATGTAATTAAAGTCAGATCCACTCGTGTCTTAGATGGGGCAGTGATATCATAAAACTGTTGTACGCTTTCAAACACTCTGTAGTTTATTTATTTTGTAACCAGTTGTTCTATATTCACCTTGCAGGTGACACTATGTGGCTTGTATCCTGGATTATATGTTTAAGTCATGAATGTTTAAAGTTCATATTTGTCTAATATTAGTTTACTTTTCATTAATGAAGTATGACGCTGCGCTGTCAGTACACTTGTCCATGTTTGTGATTGGTCAAATGTAGCTAACCCCGCCCCTTTCACGTGAACGCGCTCTCAGCTGGAGAGAATTCCTGGCTTTATTTACCGAGTTGATAACCAGCGTCGTAGGACCGCTTAGCGAGATCTCGTTTGTTAGGGTTAGTTAAGATAACTCAAACATATCCAGGGTATGTTGAACTGGCTTCGTAGTACAGGGCACAGGTGGCTGCATAGCAGCCCCAAAAAAATATTAACATCATAAAAAAGTGTAATGCAAATAAGAGACATTTTGCATATTTAACAGATATAACAATTTATGGTTGAAAGTACGGGACTTTGTTTTTCAAGGTGTTAAACTTTAGAGTCTCAGAGGCAGATGTGTTTTTACTTTCAGGACACTGATCTGTTCTCGGGGGTCAATAGATATCTGTTCATACTGGATTAACACAGAACAAAAACACCTTTGATGTGAGCCTGACCTCAATTGGCTTGGTTTGACTCATCATCTTTTGTTTATGTTGACACTGCTTCTTGCCAGTTTATATTGTTATATAAAAAATAATGTTGCTTTTGATGTACTTTAATTTGAAATACAACACCTTAAACTTAAAGCATTAAGTGATAAGAGAAGATTTAGGGCGCCATGAAGTTGAGAAGCTGGGATAAAACGAAGGCTTGTTTTTTGTAAAGAAATATTCACTCATCTGTAAGGACGGTCAATAATCTCTTCATGTCTCCTGCACTCCCCGACTCTTTTTTGTCTAACACACAATGAAATGCAGATATTTTCACGTTTGTATTGATTGTTGCTTGCAGCACAAAAGAGCACTCAATACACTTTTGTGATGAAAGTTCTTGCAGAAACATTAAGAAGTTAGAAAAAAGGCATTCAAAAGATAACAAAAGATTCTTGTAACTTTACATTTTTTGGCAGTTACCTTTATAAGACACCGGCTTCTTATTTCTGTTTTATGTCAAACTCACAAAACACTTGAATAGGCTAGTTTAAATTGTGCGGCTGCAAACTATGCATGGTAAAACTCTGTAAAGTATGCATTATGTATCAAAGCGCAGTGGATAGAGCCTTGGTATGGGGATCAGATGGTCACAGGTTCAAACCCCACTGCAGTCAGCATGTCGTTGTGTCCCTGAGACACTTCACCCCAAATTGCTCCTGTGGGGATTGCCCACAGTATTGAGTATGTATGTCGCTTTGGATAAAAGCGTCTAACAAGTAACATGTAATGTAATGTAATATAAAAATACAAAAAAGGGGTCCTGAAAGTTTTATCTGACCACAAGGTTTCCTACATTTAAATTTTGATATATGTTTTAAAATGAATACTGGATTAACACAGAAAAAAAACACCTTTGATGTGAGCCTGGCCTCAATTGGCTTGGTCTGACTGATCATCTTTTGTTTATGGTGACACTGCCTGTACCATTTAAGCGTGTGGTTGTTACTTCCACACAGTAAAATGAAGAAAGCATGTGATTTTGACAGATATATTCATTTTTTTCTCATTTAAATTCCTTTCAATGCCCTCTTTTACTTTCGTACAAGTCTACATTCAACCTTACAAAGTGGAAGTGTGACGGCAGATGATGTACGTTATAGAAACAGAGTTATGTTATCTCTCTTTTAGTTAATTAAAGCTGTTGTTTATGTCACATCCTGAATATGTGTTTCAGGCTCCGGCAGATTCCAAACTGTTATTTTTCACACAGTCTTTCAAGCAGATGACATGTCCCGATGAAGCTACCTTACTTACCCTCTTCATCCATAATGCAAACAACTAATCCATGATCTTTCTTGTTTCTGTTTTGTTTCTTTGCAGTTGGGGGAGGAAACCTTCAACCGTGCCAAGTTGTTGAACGTTGGCTACACAGAGGCTATGAAGGATGGGGAGTACGACTGCTTCATCTTCAGCGACGTGGACCTAATCCCGATGGACGACCGCAACCTTTACCACTGCTACGACCAGCCCAGGCACTTCGCCATCGCCATGGACAAGTTCGGCTTCAGGTGAGGGGACGGTTTCAGCTTGGCGTGCGTTTTTTGTGCGGACCAGGGAGAGTTAGATTAGATTAATTTAAAGTTACTTTGTTGATCACAAATTGGGGAAATTGTTTGTTCACAGCAGCATGAAAACAAGGCATTGCACAGAAATTACAGAATAAACCAATAACTGTATACATTTTGACTTTAGATAATATACATACACAGTAAATATCCACATATCAACAGTGAAATATATATATTTATTGAGTATCTCTTTGGAATACACAATATAAAAATACATGGTATCCAACCTTCTAGCGCTACCTATTTACTTGCTATTTACTTAAACAAGACATGACACTCAGGAGCATTTCAGTTCAGCCTATTTAATGGAATATACGGTATGGTAACATCAAGTAAAAAGTCCCACACACACGCAGCTAATAAACACACACTACAGGGAATTGTAATGCTATAGTTGCAGATGGGTTCTGCATGTGTTATCTATATAAGCTTGCACTTCTTTTTGAATATAAATATGTTTAATATTGAAATGCAGTTGTCTGTGTTTAACAAAAACAATTAGAGGTGGCATACAGCCTTATATCTCACAGACAATAGGCAGAGCAGTATTTAATTTGACTAAATCTCATTATACTTTGAAATCCTTTTCTGAAGCCCAAATTAGCATGAAAATGCCTCGTGGTTCACTGCTGCCAATTTTATCTCGTCATACTTCTGTAGTTCTAACAAGAGCCAATAATACGAAGCGTATCTAACAAGTATAGACTACAGCTTGTGCAAAGACCCTTATTAGTGTTGAAAACTGTGTTCCAAATAATAGAGCTGCTAAACCAACCTGTTGCTGAGTAAACTACTGCAGCTAGAATCCATTATCTGTGTGTTTTCCATATTTTATACCAGCAAGGCACTGATCTCGTTTTTATTGTGCCATCAATTATGAGAAATCCACAAACGAGAATCAGAAAACGTTATTGTAAGAACACGGAATAAGACATAATGTTTTAATGAGGAAACACCGTGTTCACTAGATTTACTCTGATGCTGTTTTTAAAGTCTGATATGGTATGTGAAATATTTGTACCTGTTTTTTGGGAAAAGACACATTTTCAGTGATCTTATTTAATTTAATACACACAGTAAAAGGATAATACGCACATTAGAGTTGAGACTATTCATTTATTGACAAAATAACTTGTTTTCTAATCCATCAAGTAGTAGCTTAAAATGTGTTAACCAAGCGTCTCAGTTATTTTGATTTTACTGCTTTTCTTTGACTTATGTGATCCCAAACGAAATACTGTGTTTGTTTCAAGGTATTGGTCATCACCATTAAGAATGTGTGTGTTCATTTTCACCATGTTCTGATACTGTAAAGGCCAAACATCAAATAAATAAGTCTGAACAAGAAACAGCAATAGAAAATGAATTAATATAACTGGATTGCTAGTTGCATCCTAAATGAGAACAAACCATCTATAGCAGATTTATCTTGTTGCATGAATGGTAATATGTAGAAGGTCAAGAGTTTCCCCATGAGAGAGCATTTTTAAAGGATGTTTTTTATCAAATTGCAGTGTAAGCAAAAGAGCTTCAAAGTGTACTGCATGGTAGCGTTTTGTTATTCTTTTTGCATAATAACAACACACCTGCCCTCAATTATCTAAAAGCACCAGAAGTGTTGATTAACTGCCTAACATGGCTAGTGAATGTGACCCATCCACTCCAAAAGCTGTCACCCACCAGAGTTATCCTGCTGAAAACTCCTCAGGAGCTGCTGATGGAGTGCTCAATAAGCTAATGCTATCTGGCAACCAATATAACACCAGGTGGTAAGCACGGTTATAGCTAACATTAGCAATGAATCTCAAACTGTTAAGAGGTTCCTGTGGAGTTTTTTGGCTGCTACAACATTTATGGAAAATGGGATACAAATAAAGCCTGGTGTTTTTAGTGAGCTGAAGGTCACATGGTTGCAAAGAGATCATATTTGGACATTGTTCCAAAGGGGAAAGTGGTCTGAGTCAATCTACCAACTTTATTTTAACTTCTAGGAAGCTAGCGAACAATCAACACAAATAAGGTATTACCTTTTCTAATTGACGATAACCTTTGGCAAAGATGAAATGTTATATTTTAGCTGAGTCATTTCAGGAAGACAACCTTAGCTACTGTCAAATGCAAAAGCACTATAAGTGTTTTTTAGGCTGAAAATATTGCCAGTGAAAGTCAGGTCACATTAAGTGCTGTTCCATTACCTTAGCACCTCACAACACCTGGCTGCTCTCTCCGGAGAGAGGGTCACCTTGAAGTCCTTTCCACAAAAGCATTTCACAAATGATGCTCTTTAAGGATCTTACACAGTGTATTATGTTTTATTACCATTATATTGTACAGAATTCTGTGGATGTTTAAACACTTGTTCCCTGGGTGAGCACATTATGAGTGTGCTACAGGCTATTTGCATATTTACGGAGGGCACATTTAAGCTTGGCCGTGACCTTCTTCTGGCAACGTTAGCACTTTGTTCAGTGAATTACATGTGTTAAAATGTTTTGGGAAGATTTAAAGAGAGGCAATATGTGAAATATGAAATTTGTAACAGGACACATGAAGCCATTAAGGAGAACAAGATGCCAAAACACGTTTCTACCTGTTTAGGATACATAGTAAAACGTAAATTGAGTGTTTGGTTAGTTTCAGATCTTCCATAAAAAATAAAACTGATATAAAACTCGTAAAAGAAAGCTGATCCCGGAAAAACAGTTTAAGTATTCTACTACTACTACTCTATAGTCAAAAACACATACACACACACACACACACACACACACACACACACACACACACACACACACACACACACACACACACACACACACACACACACACACACACACACACACACACACACACACACACACACACACACCGCCCTCACCATATTGTTGCTGGGAGAAGTTGTGCAGAAACATATGGTCTCATTACTTTCTTCTTGTCATCTTTCAACAGGGAGCTGTCATACTTTTGACAACACATATTCTCGATTTTATACACACATGTACACACACACAAACACACACACACACACACATATACCCACACACACACACACACACCGACAGAAACACACATGAATCAGCCTCTGGTTAGACTTCAGGCGCTGTCATGACACTCACAGCTGATGTCCGTCCCACTCCACTGGTCTCACGACTTTTGAGGAAAACATAAAATGCCTGTCTGCCTTTTACACACACACACACACACACACACACACACACACACACACACACACCCACACACACACAAGGCTGCTACACTCTTCCATCATTTCATTGTTCTTTCTGACCTTCTGTCTTCCCTTTTATTTATCTCTTATGTTCTCATCTTCATTTTTCATTGTTGATTCTCTTATAAACACTAATATCATGTTTGGACATTTATCAAATGACATGTTGTGCTTTCTTTTCTTTTTTTTTTGTAAAGCCGAACTTTGAAAACTTCTATCATTAAAGCTATAAATGTAACTTGGTTTAAAGCCGGCTGTGTTCTAAGCACCAGAGGTCTGCTGTACGGTGATGTGGGGATAATGCGGTCCCTCTTCACACACGGTCATTTCATAATGCGTTGAGCAGATTATATGGATGTGGATTATCCATTTAGTGTAGAAAGGCACCCATACATTAAAAACACATCCAAGACACATTAGGAAGAGATCTGATTGCCACAAGAGGTTATTCAAATGTAAATCGTGGTGTCTTTAAACGCCACATATTAAAACCTGAGATTCATGGATGATTTCAGATTAACATAAATTATGACGCTGGCCCATTTCAGGGTCATTGTTGCTGTTGAGTCCACATTTTAGCATAAACACTGTTACTGCAAAGAACCTTTATTTAATAACATGGTAAAAGGAATATTTTAATTGGGTTTTCACTTTACCCTTTGGCAGCCTTAAATATGCTTTCACATAAAGGACTTAAGACATTTATATATTTTTTATTTTTTTTTATATAAAGAAATGCATTTATTTTTCTCTCATCAATTTTTTTACACAGACTTGCAGCTGAGCAGAGAGTTGATCTTTCTTCTCTCTGAAGGGTCTTGTTTGATAAGGCCACTTATATGACCTTTCACTACTTCCTTTCATAACTCATCATAACTCCTTTTCTCTCCCTCCTGCAGGCTGCCGTACGCCGGCTACTTTGGAGGAGTTTCAGGACTCAGTAAAAAACAGTTTCTGAAGATAAACGGCTTCCCCAACGAGTACTGGGGCTGGGGGGGGGAGGACGACGACATCTACAACAGGTAAGAGTGGAGGCATGAAGCATGAGCTGCTGAATCTGCCACTTGATTTCTTCACTAATACGATTTAGCCTCATTCGACCTAATAGATTGCTTTTTAATTTGCCAAATAGTTCAATAAAAGTTAAACTTCACTAACAGCAAGATGCCATCTGTCTGGGTTATGTTATAAGCTCCCTGTCAGACTGTCACACACACTCACACACATGCAAGTGATCTCATATGCACATTATTTCAGCCTCCACTGGCAGTGAAGTCAAGTCTCTGGACTGAAGTGACAGGGAAGTTCTTGGTGGAGTGGATAATTTATAGTAATCGTTCACCGAAGGAGAATTATTAGCAAATAAATTAACCTTTTGAATCGCTTCAGTCAGCATGCTGAAGTTCACTAATAATATTACTGTTGAAATGTGCTGAAATCTAATCTGATAGAGGATTTTAGTTTGACAGGATGACGGAAAGGTGACTAAAGACTGCTTAAAAGAACCATTTACAGCGCCATTAGTTTAACTTATCGTCTATTCAGACGGTTGTTTGGACTGAAAACTGTTGAATTAACGGTGAACTGATGATCTGACTATTAATCAAATCAAAATACAGAGTCATGCATCTTTGCTTGTCAGTACAGAAGAGAAAAGAATCATGAAAGCTTAATGCATTCATTAAAATATTAAGCATATGACTAATAATACAAAATAAATTGCACCTTAATCACAGTAAGGCAAGGCAAGTTTATATAGCACCTTTCAACATAAGGACATTTAGAGTGCTTTACAGTAGACGTTTTTCATATTTCCCTAAAAACTGCTGTGTTTCACGTGACCTCTGCCAGTCCATTTAATATGATATAAATGCCCGCTTCAGATTGCTGAACGACTGAAACATCAACACAAGATTTTCAAAAATTGCAAGCTGTAAAGTCAGATTTTCTTCTAGAGAAAATTAATTTTAGTCACATAAACAGATACATTTGCATTCAGAGGATCCATCTTGAGTACACTAATTATAAACAGTCACACACACTCTCACACAGCAGGACTGTTCTTCACAGACAGAACCCTCTCTCCATCTTTATTGTCTCCGTTCTTCACTGTCGTTTTTATTTCTTTATTTTTCTCTCTGTGTCCCGCTGTCACTCTCACACTGTGAAGCTTATCTTTGTCCTCTGTAATAGCATTATGAGAAAACTGAAAAAAGAGCATTTGGAAATTGGTGTTTTTGAGAATGGAGTGTGTCAGTAGACGCGCTTCTCAGAAGATTACAGTTGTTTGTCAGTGTCTGGCAAGATGTGATAAAAGAGGTGTGTGTGTGTGTGTGTGTGTGTGTGTGTGTGTGTGTGTGTGTGTGTGTGTGTGTGTGTGTGTGTGTGTGTGTGTGTGTGTGTGTGTGTGTGTGTGTGTGTGTGTGTGTGTGTGTGTGTGTGTGTGTGTGTGTGTGTGTGTGTGTGTGTGTGTGTGTGTGTGTGTGTGTGTGTGTGTGTGTGTGTGTGTGTGTGTGTGTGTGTGTGTGTGTGTGTGTGTGTGTGTGTGTGTGTGTGTGTGTGTGTGTGTGTGTGTGTGTGTGTGCAATTACATGCCTAATGATGACAGATCAAGTGAGACCTCTAACTTTTGATTGGATGCTAGCTGAAGTAGGTCATCAGATGCTGTAGATTTCCCTCGAGATGTTTTCTGCAATCGATCTGAGCTATTTAAACTGCTATGAAAAGTGAAGTGACGTGCAGAATTATAATTAAAATTCCACTTTTAAGACATTTACTTTTACAATTCAAATGAACTTGACTTGTTTACCAAAATGTATATTGAAAATATCACCCTTAGATAGACAATGGAAACACCAACGGGCAATCCTCCACAGTCATTTTCTTTTGAATCAACAAGCAAATATGTCTTTGAAGCTTTTCTTTCTTGTATAGTTGTTTTTTACTGAAAGTGGGACCATGTGATATTAAAACTTTTGCTGAACAGTGGAAACTCTGGCTACACGAGGCAGTTACAGGATAATGGCTAATTGAATTTCCTTTCATTTTCTAAGAGTGTGTGGGGTTAGTTGCTTTAATGATGTCAGTGGGGCGTCCTGGTGGCGTAAGATTCCATCCATATAACCACTACAGTGTCCCTCTCCTTTATCTTCTCAGCTCTTCGTTAGAAACCAAAAGTCTTTCAACTATGATACACATATTTTTCGATTGAGTGTGACTAAAACTTTCCAAATATATCATTATCTCTGATTGTCCATCACTAAAAACATCCCTAATAGTGCTTTGAAGTCATAGGGAACAAACACTCAGATGTGTCTATCCTTCTGTGTATCTGATTTCAGCCGTGGCCAAAACTGAAACACACAATGTGATATATTGAGTTTTAAGAAGACTGTGAATCTAATGCCAGTTATAATAGAAACAGGATTGACTCCACACTAACAATAAGGTTACCCTCAGTTCTCTCCACTTTCTATCCTTGTTTTTTTATTACAAACTGAGGTCCTGAAAATCCCTAAGTCAATCTCATAATAAATGAATGGAAAAAAAACAACAACATTGGCAGAAACAAGCGCATAAAGCTGAGCATGGAGGTTTTTTTTTTGCTTTACTCTTAGACTCACACACCCCCCTCCCACCATCCACCCTCGCTTTTCAGGACTGGCTTGTTTATAAGCCTTTCACAGAGCAATCTGAAGGGAAATGCCCTTGAAAACACACTTTGACAAGCTATTGGAAGAGGACATTGTGTGGAAAGGGCTGTGTGTGGATGTAACTGAGGCTATACAAGCAAGCAGAATAGTCTCCTCTCAGACTGCCAGAAGATTGGGATGTGTGGAGACGGGTGGTGATGTCATCAAAATGCCCCCAACGGACCTTAGGCTGCTGACCTGACCTGCTACAATCACGTCATAGTTTTAATGTGTCCAATACTACTGTCATTAGTGCTAATTAGCCAATGCTAGCTTTCTTTTAAGTACTTGCTTTTACATTTCAAGCATAACTTTTTTTTGTGATATGTCTGATGTTGAAAAGGTTTTAACAATGAGAGCTGTAGTGGCGTGCAGAGGAGAGGACGGAGTCTCCAGCTGAGCGCGCTAACAGGCCGGCTCAGTCTCTCAGGACTCTTTGAAACAACTGGACCAGGGGAAGATACAGGGATAGAGAGATACAAGTATAGCTATATATAACAGAGAGCGGGGAGCCTGTGAAATCTGCCCGTTTTGTTTTCTCTGGCTTTAAAAGGGAGCAAAGTTCACAGGTTTGAAACGTGCAAGCAGTCTGGTGTCTAGTCGAAGAGTTCTTGAATGTGACACCAAATCTCTACCTGCTCTCTCTTTGAAAGCTGCTCTGGAGAAAAGGAGCATTAACTAACTGACTAAATTGCTTGTTGGAGCTATATATCTCTTTATATTATTTAATAGTTTAACATTTATTTTCTTGCTGTTTATAGTGATTATTGTAAATGTATTCTTAGTTAGCGTCATAAGTTAAAGTAGTTTCTATGCTCTTATTTTGAAGGCACGTTTGGGTACTGGGTGATTAGAGCACCTGGTGTAATTGTATATATTGGAGACAGGTGGGTGGTGGGAGCCAGAGCACTAGTAGGCAAACGGTTTTTTACCAGGGTGTTTCAAGCCACACAAAGGAAAGCCATAGGAAAGGCTTAAAGAAAAGAGATATAGGAAACCTGTTCATTGTATTTTGTTATTGGAATAAAATGCACAAATGGAGGTTCTTGTCTGGACTTGGATGATCATTGCCCTGCGTAAGATCTGCTAACTAGTGCCTCAGCGGCTGTTTTAGGTCTATAGGATTTTGGCCGCTACATTGCTCTTTTACCTTCTTCTTCAGCTTCCCTTTCTCACCCTATTTCCCCTCTTCTCTGCCCCTCTAACTGCACATCCCTTTTTATATCTCTATCTCTTGCTTCACCCCCAGCTATTTTCCTTTTTGCTGGTTTTGATGCCACAGACCATGGCACGGCCACTGCCTGAAACGGGTCCTGCTAGATTAATGGCCTCCCCGAGGGAACTTCCTGTCTGTGCTGCTCAGTGTGGCCTGAGCCCGTGGCAAAGAGGACACATGCCACTTACACAAATGCCAGTGCCACTTTAACCCACTCCCACCACTGTCTAAAAACGTTGTTGGATATTAAAAAAAAGAGAGTAGCAGAAAGGGGAAGGGGTTACGTGCAGCAGTCGCCTTGGGCAGAAACTGTACCTGTCCCAGGGGCTTCCATAGCAGACCAGACTTCAACACAAACACTCCTCCAATGCTCTTCCCTGCCCTTTCCTCCCTCTAAACCTCCCAGCGGTGGCTTTAAACAGATCCCGAGCCAGCACCATGCACACATGCAGCCGCGCAGCACAAGGACCGCAAGTGTTTCTGGGAAGCCTTGACAATGTTGTTAGAGTCAGGATATTTCTGTCTTGACACATAGAGGATGCTGAGTCTTTGATGAGTTCAATCGCATCTTCTGTTTGAGGAGGTCTCCACCCTCGGGTCAGTTCAGAAAACACTGTGGAAAGTCTCAAATCCCTTGTTAGATCTTCCTTTCTCCTTTTCTTCTGGATGGCTACGCTTGCTTCGCCATCGATCATATTATATTTTCATATTTCTATGTGTGTGTTTCTCTCTCCACTTAATTTATATATTTTTTAAAGAGCTCTATTAGGCCCTTTTTAAAGAGACAAATGCAAGACACGATGGAAAAACTAGGGCGGATCAATATAAGTATTGAGTCACAACTTATATATTTTTGAATTAATTGAGGCCAATTGTGTTTTCTAACATTTGGTCACACTACATGTGTTACTGATGATAGAGAACAAAAGCTCTGTGGGATCTATTCCAATGGCTTGTAACCTATCCAATGATCTGAAGTGTTTCCTTTTAATCTATTTCCTCCATTTTTCAAGTTCAGAACCAGATACTTACAACTCTTTCATCCTCTCATGCTCCCTCTTTGTTGGAATGTATCAGAGGGCACATAATGAGGGATACACATCAACTACAGCGA